AAGGAAAGAACAAATACTTAACCTGACTCCCTGGCCAGAAAACAGGAGAAAACAATATTCAAAATAAATCTCCCCTCTCCCCTACTGTTTTCCAACATTACATCGCTAACTTCCAGCACATAGGTGAAATACAACAAAGGGTAAGCTATAATACACCAGGAGGTTTTACCAGAACACCCCGTCTGGCTGGGGAGGTAGGGGAAAGGAAGCAGAGAGCGCGCGGCCTCCACACAGGTCCCTTTATACAGCAAATCCTCCAGCCCAATCCCCTGTCCACCATCTGTAACACAGACAAACAGAACAGCTCCTCCCTAAAGTAGGGAGGGTAACAGCAGGCAGAAATACACATCATTGAGACTCACATCCAAACCAATATGACGCAGGTCATAACAGGCCTCTTTCAGACTTGTGCGTTTAGTTTGAAACGCCGTTTCACAGATATTTTCTGAGCTGACTGGTGGCTGTGTGTGTGTGACACAGGCGCCCATCGCCACAATATGCTTACCTTAGGTTACTACACACGTCTTTCTGTTGTAGGGCTGTACATATAGATTATTTTTCACATGTTCGTGCTGCTTCCCGCCACTTGTCGCTACAGTACTCAACAGCCCTGTGTCTGCTGTATAATCCTTCAGGTTTCTGGGATCCATTATATAACAGGACCTAAAGTGTCAGGAACAATTCCTGTGCAATAACCCAGTAACTCTGTCTGTAATCAGCCACCTGTTTACTGGTTTCTTATTTTTTCATCATTTTCTATGTTCATGTTCATATTGTCATTTTCTATATTGTATATACTGTATACCAAATCCACCTAACCTCAAGTACATAATACCTGCACATAATATTCATTTATTCCAGCAATGATTTTACTCCTGCATCCTTTGCACTCTCCTCTCTGCACTATTATCAATCTGTATTGTTTTTGTTTATAGTGTGTATATATTTGTGTTCTCTATACTGTAGCCTGTGTCTGATTTTATTATTGTGTTATTGTATCATTGTATGAGTAAGCACAGCGTGAGCAATGTACAATCCTAAAAATTCCTCTTATGTTTACACATACCTGGCAACTAAAGCTGATTCTGAAAATACACAGTGAATGATGGAATACATGATGGAAATAAAATTAAAATATAGTAATAATAAATATTAAAATAAGCAGGTTAAAAGAAGAAATAAAATGAGAATACAAGCTGGCAGCTCAGATAAAATGAAACTGAATTTTTTTATTTGAAAAACAACACTTTACGCCTTCATCTTAGACTTTTCAATGTAAAATAAGTGTGTACGTGTGTATTTTATTAAGGTGTCTGTTATTAATAAGCCTTTACTGTATTGAGAGATCCAACTTAATGATAAATTTATGTTCATTATAGTTTTGGCAGTAGAAAGTGACAGTAAAAACAGGGAGAGAGATACATTACAGAACTGGTAGTAGATTTTACTTTGCATGTTGTACTGTATACTATGTGAGTTACTCTGTCTTCTAGTTCCAGTGTCAAAGCCAGCTGTGTCTCAGTTGTGTTTGTCACAAGAACAGATGATCACCTCCTCCTCTGAGGGAGATGGAGTAGAGTTCATTTTGACTTTGGACGGTCTCTTACTGATACAAAAAACAGCCAGTCCCCAAGCAGCTGGACAGCAAACATGCAGTCAGTGGCTGGACAAACCCAATGTTACAAATGTTGTCTTCAGCTTACACGGTCAGCTGACTGGAAACTGTGTAATGTTTGGAACAATGTCAGCAGAGATGAAACAGTTATTCACCTATAAAGCTGCAAAAGGTACTGAGTTCAAACTTTGCTTGCTTTCTTAAAAATATAAACACAACACTAGTGAATGACGTAAGGTGTGAATGACGTTACATGCTGATATCTGGTTGGCAGAAGGTGGAATGTAAACAGCTACAACAATGGCATGTGAAATTTCCCGTTGCAGATAGTATGGTCAGAGTCCCACAGGAAGCAGTTCAATGTCTGAGAATACAGATAAGTTATTTTATGGTCATGTTACCAGGATTACACTATCTGTTATTAATTAGAACACCAAGCACTTGACGCTTACCACTCTTGGTGCAGTCCCTGTCTGCCTGAACAGTCGACAATGGAAACGTTGTGGTCAAGTATATCCTGGTGTAGCCTTGTCTCTGTAATAATATATATATAGATGCGCGCACACACACACACACACACACACCTAAAAGAAATTTGTCTTTTAATGTTAAGACCAGAGGCAAGGTGAGTCTCTCTCACTGTTTGATCTTTTACTCTTTTTTGTACTTAAACATACACACACACTGGTCTGTCATTGTGGCTGAAGTGTTGTGGTGGCAGCCCAGCTGACGGTGAGTGTCCTGTTTATTTGTCCCTTTTTGCTGGGGATTCTGTTTTCCCCTGGTGTTCTGTTTTTTTTCCCTGTGCCCTGCCTGCCTCCCTGTGTCTCCTCCCCTGCGTGTGCTCTCCCCCTCCACTCCTGGGCCCAGCCAACCTGCACCTCATCAGCCACCTCTTCTGCCTGCCACACCTGCCAGCAATCAGCCTCATCTCCAACAGTACTTCTACTCCAGTCAACCCCTGCTTGATCGTTGTTGCTCCTAACCCGGTGCCACTTGATCACTGAAGCTCTCGTGAAACCTGCATGATCGGTTTCCCTGTTCTTGGTTTTCCCTGAGTAACTAACCCTGTCTGTCTGTCTCTCGCCAGGTTCACTCACCCTCGTCCTCTGTCAATTCAGCTGGGCTCGCTCACCTGTCCTCTCGGACTTCCCCCGCGGCTTCCTCCCGGCTCTCCCTCGTGCCCCCCAAGTCAGCCTGCCACCACACTCCTCCACCAACCCCCTGATCTGTTCTCCCATGCCTCTTCTCTTCCTCGGCCCCCAGTGTCCCCCGGCTCTCTGGTCTCAGTCTCCTTGGTTCCCCGTGCCTGTGTTTCCCCAGCATCTACCTCTCCCTCAACTCCAGTCACTCAACCCCTTCTTTCCCCTAATAAAACCTGTTAATCTTGAGCGTTGCATTTGGGTCCACACCACAATATGAAGCAGAGACTGAGAACATAGAAGTTGTGGTCCACAGCTTTTTCCTTTCTCATTGTGTCAACAACATTAGACATACGTTTACTTTAAGATTCCTCTAACAAACTGTAGTGAATCATGTACATGGTTTGGAAATAAATACCATGTGATTACATGTTGAGAGGCAGGTTATTTGTAGCGTGAGTGAGATGTCCTATTCGCAATGTTATGTTAATGCTTATTTGTAGTACAAAGGTTTTTTCATCCTGACACAGATCTAATGAAAATACAGAATAACCATCCTCTATTTCAGTTGCTGCACTTATGTCTTCGTAAGGAAATACTTTAAATTTAAATGTTTATTAAAATTTAACATAACATTGCTAATAGGACATCTCACTCACGCTTTCTTTCTCTGATCTTTTAGTCTCTATTTGCAATTAAAATATACAAACACTGTTATGCCACTGAAGCAGAAGATGAGAACAGAAGTTGTGGTCTACACATCCTTTTCCGTTCTTGTTGTGTTGACAACCTTAGTCACAAGTTTATCATGCCTAGGTGTTACTTTTACTTTCCTCTAACAAACACTGACATTGCAAACAATTGTGTACATGGTTTATAAATAATTACCATGTGGTTAAATGTTCAGAGGCAGAAAGTGCTTATTTGTTTGTAGTATCATTTGCAAAAATACGTGAATAATAAAAACATAAAAAGGTTTATATACATGGGTGTAAGAACCATTCAGATATTTGATTACAAAAAGGAGAAAATTCTTGCCCTCAACAAGTCAGTCAGTTTGGAAACGAAAATGTTACACCAAGTGTTTTAATTTCTAGTGTTTTATACCTGATTGTATGTTTTAATATGATTCACACAAAATCTTTTAAAGATTCATGAAGTGACAACTCCAGAATCAGCAGGACAATCTGTTTTTTTCCCCATTACTATCATCTCCTGTGAGCACACTGCAGGTACTGTAGGGTTTATAGAGGAAACTGTAGAGATGTTGATAACACATGTACCTATAACCTATATACCTGTACCTATATATATAAATGTGCTGTTGAGTTGTTGTCTGACACCAACACACCCACATGAAGCACTAGAATTTCATTAGAAAAGATTTACACATATGTAAAATGGGAATAATGCAATTGTCCGAGGTAAATCAGAGAAAAACTACAATCTCTTCTGTAATACCAAATACTTGAATTTACATGCAAGTTTCCCTGATCTACAGTCAATGATAACTTATAAAATGTAGAAGTTACGTCGCAGATTCACTTCAAACTCTGTCCCAAATTACAGACTAATTTACACTAATGTACACACCTTCTCCATATATTCTGCTTCCTTATTTCAGAAAGCTAGAACTAATAAGAGGAAAACTTTCCTTTTACTTTGTCTTCAACTGTGTGTTTCGTGTCCATTGTATGGCATCTTTTCTGACATGCAGTCTATGTATAGTGTCTTTACTAAAGGACTTAATCTATCCTAGAGATATATTGGCACATCCTGGTAACTAAAATATAAGGAGACCCCATGGATATAAAGCACCCCTCTTCACTACATATTAATATGTTCAATTTCCAACAATATTATCAATTAAGATCATCTTCTGTGCCATAAGTTGTAACTGCAGAAAGTCAATGAGGTAGTCTAAGTGCCATCTACATAACAGCTCACAAAATGCATGACAATTCAGAAAAGTGAAATGAAATAGTGGAGAATACCAACTTTCTGCACCAAATAGTGCCACTATTAAATGGTTTAAGTTTGAGAATTTTTAGTTTTTGTCAGCAGTTGTTTTCTGTATACTACATATTAATACATCTGTAAATTTGTAATTAATCGGAGTACATGTAAATACAAAAATGATAAGCAGCTATGTGTCAATAGTGCTTTGCTGAATGCACATATCCTCTTCCTCAATTCTCCCCACAGAACTAAAGACCAGAAAAAAAACCACCCCCTGTCAGTGCGAAATTTACAGTCTAGTCAATAGGCTACAAAGAAGACCTACTGTCAAAGTGGTGAGTGAAATTTGTTTGAATTTAAGCCAGATGAGCTAAAGTGTGCTGAATGTTTAATAATGTATCACTTATTCATTAATCTGCATTATTTTTACAATTTCTAAAAGATGGAATAGCTGAATTCTTATAACTGACTTAAACCATTTTCTAATTATGCAGATATATATGCATGGAATCTGTATTGTTCAAACATTATTAAAGTGAATTTTACAATTTAAACTAAAAAACAAAACTAAATGTCTTATATTGTGTTGATAGTTTTGCATACAAGTGAATTCAACATGTTTTAAAAAAGGTAATTTGATTGTGTTACAACAGAAAAATGATTTCCATCTACATGATTTTCACGGCTCTGGTGCAAACGGCTCTGGCAAAAGGTACACTTCAGGGTAACTGTAGTAATAGCATTGGTGTGTTGACCAACACAACTACATATTTATTCATGCAGTATTTTAGGTTTATCACATTATACGTTTATGTGAACCATTTGCTAATGCTTTGTTTATCTGCCAATAACTGAAGCCTTTATCAAATATTTAATGCAAATTATGCTTTTACATGAAAATGTAGAACAATCGCATTAATTGCAATTAAGAATAGGTTAAAAATATATTCACAGTAAATCTATGACTTTGAATTGTTGCTGCTTGAAACATGATATACAGTATATATACAAAAGATATTTTAGTTACAATAGTCAAATATGTTTTCCTTTTACCTACTGAAATGCAATGCTAATTGGTATGTAGCATTTTTAAAAGAAGCTATTTAAATTTTTTTGTTGTTCTTGCTTCTATTAGAGTCTATGGAATGCGATTTATCTGAACCTACAGGAGCTCCAAACTGTTTTGGAGCACTTGCGGAGTCACTATTTTTCCATCTGCCTACAAATATGAAAAAATTAATATTGAGAAGGAAAGGGGCATCTACCATTTTAAATATAGCCAATATGACAGTTATTATTTCTGAGGAATACACCAGTCGCTCTACGTACTTCCCAAATGGAACGTTTAAGCTGGATAATGCACGAAAGACAGACTCCGGGGATTACCAGCTGGAACCATTTGGCTCTGATGGTAGATTGTTGAATAAAACCAACATGCATCTAGAAATACAAGGTAGGATTTTCAAAAACATTAAAATTGTAAAAATGATTCTCTAAAATACAAAATGTGGTCATTACCACTGTAGACAAAAATGTCCTAGACCCCAAAAAAGTATTTAAAAGACTAACAGAGATTTCAAATAATGCAAAATGTAAAAGGGTCAATGACGTCTAATGGAGTTTCAAAAAGTCAATTGTAAAATACAAAAAGTTACAATATCTATTGCAATTATTAAGATTTTAGGAATGTTGTACACATACATAAAATTAATTCATTTCTTACACATGCTTAACAGTTTTCTCACAAGTTCTCACAAATGTAATGTGTTTAGAACGTTATAGAATGTCGGTTAACAGACATATTTTTCCTGTAAATGGCATACAATTGATTGTGTTTCAAAATACTATTCACCTCAGCATACTATATCACCAATTAACATTTCAGCCACAGAAAAGATATATTTTTATCTTTATACAATTAATTATTGAGTGGTTTCTCCAAATTAGCAGCATACATTTACTTACACACACACACACACACACACACACACACACACACACACACACACACACACGCGGAGTTTGCTATTATATTGCATTTTGTACTGCATGTACATATGTGTGACTATATGTTTATTTTACAGCTCCAGTGTCAAAGCCAGCTGTGACACAGATGTGTTTGACACCAGAACAGATGAACATCAGCTGCTCCTCTGAGGGAGATGGAGTAAAGTTAATTTTGAGTTTGGACGGTCTCTTACTGATGCAGACCGGAGGCCACAGCCAGTCCCTGAGCAGATCTACAGTGGACACACTGTCACTGGCTGGGAGTACAGCTAAACAACACAAACCCATAGTTTCAAATGTTGCCATCAGCTTACACGGTCAACTGACAGGAAACTTGATGTGTAATGTTCGAAATAATGTCAGCAGAGAAGAAACAGTTATCCGCCTTACAAGCTGTGACGGTAGTGTTTCAAGGAATGATAAAATTCTATTTTTATTAATTTATTAATTTTCTTACAATAACAAAATGTATGATTCCTTTTGTATTTAATGTCCTTACTGTCAGTTCACATTTTATTTAAGAAAAAAACAAAAACAAACTTTATGTGACATGTTGGCTTTTAGATACTGTATGTACAGCATAATGCATATATACAGTAGCCCTACAGTAGCCCACAGAATGATATCTATGACATAATCTTCATCACTTCAATATCTAATGTGAGTTGATGTTTGTATTTTTAGGTTCCATTTCTCTTTCTTCTCATGTGACTGTGGCTGTGATAGCAAGTGGCGCCACTCTGCTTCTACTTTTGGCTCTGTTTCTTGGTATCAAACACTTAAACAACAAAACAAGTCCCATAACTGTTAGTGAAGGTAAGAATATTTTCTTCCAATTCCCATGACTTCATCTATCCTCTCTCTCACTGAGGGCCGTACTGACATCTATGCAGAATTAGTATATGTACAGTATTACTTGACATCCTGAAAATAATTTTACAAAGATAGGCTACTGTAGTTTTATAGATATTTGATAACATCTTTCTACATTTGATATACCTACTTTAAATTTAGTGCACCATGAAAATCAATATGGAAAGACCTAAATTGCTTATATCCATCAAAATGAAAAATGTGTCAAATTTGATTATTTAAGTTGTGTTATCATTCTGTGATAGGACAGTTAAGAACGTGGACTGATTTGACAAGTCTCAAAAACTTAACCACACAATATTAACTTTATTTCTCACTTCTTTCAGATAACGCTGAAGATGAAATTGTCTACTCAGATGTTAGAGTGATGAAGCATACAAGGACAACCATACCTGAATCTATAACAATGAATATTTGCTGAATAGTTGCTCATGATATACACACACAGGACAGAATAATAACACACACACACACAGTTAACAATGGAACATAAATATTTGAGAATTTTGTTTTCACTTCCCACTGAACAGTATATTATGGTGTTGCATAATTTTAATTGCATTTGGGTTTTTTAAACATATATGTATACTTATATTAATAATTGAATACTATTTTAAATATGCAATGTACTATGCTGGATGAATCCTATTTAGAGATTTTATATATAATGAACAGTAAACTATACCCATTTATATTTTTCACACTTGTAAAAATCATGTCAATACTGGGACAAATATTCACAGTAAACTGAACATACTACTTTTGAGCTAAATACTAATTTTGCACAATTTGTTTGCTTGCATTTATGCATTTTCAAATGCAACAGCTCTTTTATTAATGCTTTTATTTTCAGTGATTTGTTTTGTAATTGTGTGTGGCATTTTGAAAGATTTTCAAATAAATACACTGTATAATGAAGACTTTCTTGTCTGCATTTTATAATACAAACCATCAAACCATGGTCAAATTTAAAGATATAAATATAATATAAATAAATAAATAAATATAAACACTGGTTTTAGGTAAATGGGAAAGAGAATTTGAGGGTTTTGCTCTACACTGGGTTGTAATTAAAAAGTTGGTCAGTGATTTAGTAATGGAAAAGCATAGCTCATGGATGACATCTGGAATCTCGGTAAGGGACTGTGTTTTCAGTTACTCAAGTTTGACATGCAAGTAATGTAGTGACCATCATTGACCACAGGATGGAGCCAAAGGCCCTAACCATATATTGGTCAAGAAAGGAGAACACAATAATCAGTCTATCTTTGATCACTTCTTGTTCATTTCAGTCTGGCAGAGCATAGTTTCCACCCCAACTGTCAAATCATGGTAAAGAATGTTTTTTAAGAAATATATTTTTCCAATTTCATGTCATAATAAGCATGCACTAGTAATCCAAAAACATTCCCTATTTTGACCACAGGGTGGCAGCAACATGCAACTAAACACTGCTGTTATCTGCATGCAGACCTTGAAAATCCAGTTTTTCTGATTTGAATGTGGTACCTTTAGTGGAAGGGTTGCATGGTCATTAATACATTTGGATAACTTATGCAAACTTTTAGCTAAGACCATTACACAAGCTCAAATATGGACTGTGGCCAAGATGAAAATGGTAAACTGTCAGTATAGCTATCAGATAACATCTTTTTACACAAAGTATGCCTGAGTAAAATTAAATTAACTGCTAACACTAGTTAGCTGCAATTATGGCCTGACGTGTGATATGCTGCCCTGCTACTTTTTGGGTTTGAGTATGATTTTGACAGGTGGAGTGTATTATCAATTCTTACACATTGTACCTTTAAAGAAAACTGTGTTCAAAACTAATGTTCTGAAATTCTTGTAACAGTATTTATATTCTTACATGGAATAAAATATACTAAAATAAAACATAAACCCGTAAACTTGGACCATTATCTTTCTTGCTACCTTACACCCCATCATCCTTCTCTCCATCTCTCAAAAGGTTTGCTCCCTGTGGTTTCGTGCTGCGTGGTTCCAAAGGGGGATTCCCACTTCACACTACAATCTTCCATAAGAACCATCCTACAATACATGCCAACCCTCACCCACAGTCACAACATTTAAAACTGACTTTACACTTAGGTCATGTGGAATAACACTTTTCCAACTTTCTCTCCCTGTCACCCTCCCTCTCTCCCCCTCTCCCCCTCTGTGTTACGCCCTGCATTGAGAACATGTGGCCTGGGAAAAATTGGGTTACAACTGTAGCAGTCCAATGAGTTGGCCTTGATTTTGAGAATGACTCCATTTACTTTTGTTTGACAGCCTGCTGCTTCCACAGCTGCAGCTTATATCCTCTATTCAGGCTCAGAATTTTACTGTATAGGTCTTGCAGACCAGCCAGATGAGGGAGTGGACCACAATCCGAGCATTAATATACTAACCCACATTCAGTGGGTAATATGAGAAAATACTTTGGTCCCTTTCTTATAGCAGGATACTCCTCAGTTTAAATATTTAGGCTATGTCAAGGATAAATCTAGAATTTTTTAAAACTTTTATCCTTTAACTATGAGGAGACTGAAATTGTGTTTACTTTGTCATTGGGCATATTCTGTGTCTCAATTCCATAATATAAACAACACAGTGCCACAACTCCAATACTTTAACAAGAAAGATAGTGCTGATGTGTGGTAACACATTGCCAGTGTGTGTGTATATATTGTTAACTGTGTATATTGTGTTTATATGGGAGCACAAAATGCACTGGTGGATTTTAATGGGAATAACAGTTAACTCCTTGGGCAATGTAAAAACAACCTTGTCTAAGATGAATTACTTGAAAGTACAGTGATGTTGATCAGTCATGCTGCAACTCTAGAACACCATTTGAAATCTGAAAACTTTCCTCAGCTGTAGCACAACAGTCTAACCTTAAACTCCTTTTCTCAGCTAATAATAATAATTTTCAGTGTGTATTTTGTGCATTTCATTGTGGGGCAAAACTGCTTTTAAAAGCTTTTTAACGCACAGATATGGCAATCAGCAACCAGTGAACAACGCATGACACGTGGCTCTAACGTTACCTTAATGGCTAGAAGACTTTATTAATGTGTCAAAAATATCCATCAACACTCTGGCCATTTTAGTATACATGTGGCCATTTAAAAGTAAAGTTTTTCAGCATGAACACCACACTCAAAAATTAGGTTAGGTAGGCTAGCTAATGTTTGCATGCTACTTTGGTTGGCAACATATAATTCGTTTTTGCAGCAACAAGTATATAGCATTACAATATCAAAATCAGAAGTCACATTACAGTTACTAATGCCAGTAATGGTCAGTTACTTAAACATGTCTTACCTGGAGATAGGTGAGAGGACCGACATCACAACATCGCTTTGGGCCGCAACAGGGGAATTTTTCCACAAGTGGCCGCTGGGCAAAATTGGAAGCAAGGCTAGATCTTATTATAGGCTTCTTCTTTGAGGAACAGGCAGCAGAGGTCTGGTCACCTTTAGTGACAAATGTTGGAGCTATTAGCAAGGCCCTGCCACAGAATAGGGAGTTAGCAGATCACGATTGTAGGAAGGAGCCTGACCGTTCAAGGCTTTAAAAACCAAGGAGTTAAATCTTAAAATCACTTCCATTGGTGTAATACGGTTGCTTTTCTTAGTAGCCTAATGTAGGCTAGGTTAAAAGCCTGGCAGCAGCGTATTGTGTAGTCTTTGGATTTTTCACCTGCTGATACGAGAATAAATCGCATTGCAATAGTCGAGTCTAGATAAGATAAATGCATGACATTTTCTAGATCTGCAGATGAATGGAATAATTTAATTTTGGTTAAATGTCTCAGTTTTAAAGTAGGACTGCATCACTTTAGTCACTTGAGCATTCAAAGACCATTCTGGGTCAATATGTACACCTGGTTTAACACGTTTAACATTATTAGATGAGGTACCCAGACTAGATGAGAGTCTAGCGCTGGGGGGTGACAGTTAGCTTTTCCTGTCTGTCTTAAGCTTAAGCATAAATAAAGGGAACCCCCCTAAAATCTTTAAAAAGACCAGAAGTGGTAATGAACACTTCATTTAAATGAGATGGTGGAGCGATTTGAAGAAGAAAGGATCAAGGTGAACTGCATCTGAGCTGTGGCTCTGCACTGAAACCTGATGAACTGGATTATAAAATAATTCACATCCTGTCACTTGTTCAGACATGACGTGATAATATTTCTAGTATGATGATCCTGGAAAGATGAAATCTGTTATACTGAACTCATAGTGCCCAGATCATAGAGGGAGAAATGTTCACCAACAACATATTTTCAGGCTGCTGCTGAAACAATAGGGGATGCACTCGTTAACCTTCCTTCAGTGCTATGATAGCAAAGAGGTTGATACTTCTCAGGGTCAGCCTTGTTGTTTTGTTTTCATAGCAACCTCTCAACAATCCTTTCCTGTTAATGACATCAGAGTTCAAGGAGCAGGAATTTGCCATTGGAGTCTTTCTGCACACCTCTCGTCCAACAATGTCTACTTGCAAAGGTTGTGGCAAAAAGCTTCCTCATGCCATGTATCTTCTTTATCGGAAACGTCTCCACCAATCAAAACAGGTTAAACCTCTCCCAACCCTCTACTTGGAACACAGTATCTGTTAGTTTCTTCTCAGCTGGAAATAAGATAAAGCAGGGTCAAGGTCTGTGAACGTTGTAATCAATGTGGCGTTATTCACTGCTTGGTCTAAGTCAAATTCTCAGGGTCACTCAGACAATGAAGGCTCTTATCTTCCAACAAAGGCTCCTTGGTCAGTGAAGTAGGTGAACGCCTTGACACGCCCAGTTAAGAGGCACTTAAAAGGTAAAGTACTAATAAAAAATGAATGATAAAAACAGTCACCACTGCCCTTTGATTTAGAAATTAATTCCGAAACAAAACATTGATTCAGTATGTCAAAAACACTGTTCTTGAATCTTGAATGTTTCTACCACCAGCCTCAGAGCTTTGCCACCCATTATAACTGTTCATGGTCATTACCCAGCCTGAATCGCAAATGAATAAAATGGTCAAGTAAGCATTCATGTCAGTGTAGAACACAATGGGTCCAGTGTAGTGTCTGTCCAGAAAGGGAACCACTTTCATGCACAAACTGAACCTGCCGGAAAGTATTGCGTCATTGGGATTTCAGAGTAACGAGCCAGTGAATGAATTCATGTCCCGAATGGTCTCATGGGGCACAAGAGGAATTAGACATCATGCAACTCGGTAGGCCAAATGGGATAGTCATTTAGACAAGCCCACTGGCATATGAAAGTTCAAGGCACACACAAACAAGCATGTACAAGCCATAGACTGGACAACAGAAGGTACAAACACACGTGCACATGCCCAAATATGTGACATGTTCAGGAAACAGATACATGTGCATGCTCAGAGTTTTGAGGAAAAGCAGGTTCTCTTATATGCAATCACTCTCTCTCACCAGCACACACAACCATACGCACACGCCTCTTTTAAACCCCTGGCCATGGAAACCATGGAAATGCCAAGCAAACAAGTGGTCTCATTTGGCAGACAGCTCGCTGGCTTCCGTTTATGCGAGCTACTGTACCAAGTTTCTGCATCAGGCTTATGAGGGGACACACAGGCCTGACTCAACCACTGAACAAAAGTAAGGGTGGTGAGGTAATTGACATGGATATATTTGCCCTAGATTTACTTGAAGGTGAATGCCACACAAGTTAAAGTGCCAGCAGTATGTGTTTGGATATGATACAAATGTGTACTTTCATTTGAGCTGAGCAGTGTAAGCAGTTTAGTATTTTGGTCATGATCAGACGATAAATACATATCAAATATATATTGCACAGTAATGTCGTTGCACTATTTATTTGTATTTTACACTGATGTTTTTATCTTGCTTTTATGATCTT